ACATCCACAGAGAAGCAAAGAAGCAAAGAAGCAAAGAAGGATATAAATATCTTCCAGTGTTCAACGGTACGGTGTAACTAAACAAAAATGGAAACAATGAAAAATCATTTTTCCCTTCGTGTATGAAGCTGCCGCGAAGTGGAAACAGTGGGCCCGCACACCGCATACATCACAAGGGCTCTATTTTAAGGTACTTCTCAGTTCCATCAAAAAACATACACGCAAAGAAAGTTGACAACTCCACACAAAACAATAATCAATGAATAAAACTGGAAGGCCAGGTGGCTCTCCGCCTCTCCCCAACACTCCGCATCCTCACGTACACAATACACTTTGAGCTTACCAAAACCAATTCTCAAAAATAATAAAATAATGAAAAATGCACCAAACCCATAATGATGATGATGATAATAATAATAATAACAGAAGAGGAAGGTGTCAAGGTATCTGATCTCAACATTCAATCCGCTAGGCTCTTCACAACGCTGAGTGTCCGCACAACCATAATCATAATTCCAAGCAAAAAAAAAAATAACAACGTGCCCTGATAAAAGTGCAGCGTTTGCCAAATAGGTTTCGACACCAGTACTCCTTCGACATTCGAGGTTCATCCGGCTCCTCCACACTGGATTCTACAAATAGTGAGAGCAGCGCTGGTAAGAGCATTAGCATGACCGCCGCTGGGAGCGCCCCGATCAGCGAAACCACAATCGCCACAGTATCAGTTCCCGCGCCCATTGCAACAGCATACACAACAAGATTTACCGCAAGTAGCATTAAGATTGCTTTCCAGGACCGGAAAGGCCACCCAAGAAGTGAATCAATTTGCAAAATTCCGGGCATAAAGAGAATCGGATATGAACACAGGATGTTGATCATAAATGCCAAACGCAAAACAATGGAAAACGGATCCTTGGGTAGTGCATCCACCAGCGACACCTCAAGTGCCCCACCATACGCCAGGTATCCAACCAAGCCGTACAAGAAACACCAGCTAACAACCAAGTACAGAACGACGGTAAGCACCAGCGGAAACAAAGGTTTGTTCTTGCATGAATTTTCGACGGGCAAAACAACACCAATTCCCTCTAGCACCATCATATTATTTGCCATGTTGTTGAACCAGCCAAGCGGTATAGAACGGCCCCAAGGTATTGTGCTCTCTGCCACGCCCTCTTCATGAATTTTAATAAATGACATAATCATCGTAGCAACTAGCGCAAAAACTACAGATACTGTGAAAACAATGGCTACGACTGCAAGGAACGCCAGGTTCTCGCTTAAAAAAGTCACACGCAGAACAATGGCAAACATAACGCCTATCCTAACATACTCAGTCCATGTAAAACTTTGGCACAAGTCCCGCGAAGGCACCCCCAATCTCCCCAAGCCAAATTTAGCTCGCCAAGCCGCAAGAGCCGCACAGAACACGACGTGTCCCGGTGCCTCCTCACTGAGGCTGCTGCAAAACCTCGGCATTGCTTTTGTGCCTGGAGCTGCTCTTCTCGTGAAACCTGCCAGCATGGAAGTCGAGTATTCGCCTGCCGACAATGGTAGAGGGAAAGCGCGGACGCCACACCCACCTGGACTAGAAACCTCTGGCATGGATTCATATGCGCCCTTTTTGCAGCTATAATTACTTTGTTTTCTTTAAGCTGTTGCCGTTGGGCGTGAATAAACAATCCAAAGTGGGATTCGCACCGTGCACTGCATGCCGTGCGCGGGTGGGGGCCGGCGGCCTTGGCGGGAAGGAGTTTGGGAACAACACGGAGCCGAGCGCTGTGGCTACGCGTTTGCGGAGCGCGCCCTGCGAAGCATATGTCTTCCACATGGGTAGCAGGGGACGCTTTCTTCCAGTTTTTTGCTTTTCTGCGCCAGCGAGGGCCTCTTTCCACTTTCAGTGGCGCTGAGGTTGCCGCGCGCGCTTCCCCAAGCACCCTCTACCAAGCTCTGCTATAGTGATGGGGCTGTGTTCTGGTCTTTGTATTAGCCGTCTAAAGCGCCTGCTACTGGCTGCTGGATACGGCGGCTGGGGGTTCTCCGCAGTAGATATTGCCGCCCGCCCGGCGCGGCGCGCCTGCACGATACGGGGGCCATACGAGGCGCTCCGGTTCGGCGGCAACGCCAAAATTGAGAATCCCTCTCGGCCTCAGCGCGTTCAGAATACCAAGCAGAAGGCAACTCGCATGGACTTTGCGAACGGACATGGGAGGCCAACAGAGTAGACGGATACCGGTTCTGGCGGTGAGAACACTGCAGCGGGCCGGGCCTAGCGCAAGAGAACTCCTCCACAACAGACCCGCATTGCGCCGCCAGGAGGCGCAGTAGGCACCTATGGCTGCTAAGTGGCGCCGCATTCGACAACGCCCGCCACAAGTGAGAATAAAAAGCAACGTCGCGCTCAACAACACTTTCTCGCAGCGGCCGCCGGGGCGTTGCCGGAGGCGCTTGGGATTTGTGACATGACGCAGCGGGCGCCTCCAAAACCACTTGCAACTTCGGGGCCCGGCGTGCTTCATGCTGCGCCGCTATACGCACTAAAAATAATTTCCTAACGGTCGTTGTAAAACCACATTTGGGGCGTGCCGTCGCCTGCTCACCATACGGGGCGGCGAGCGCTCATTTCACCGCCCGAAGAGCCAGCGCCTCGCCGACGCCATCGCGGTTTAGCATGTGTTCGTGAGCCGGCGGTCGTCTAGCATACACCCCCTATTGCGGACCGGTGCAACAGTGTTCGGTCCGCTCGGACCGCCTGGGGAGCAACCTATTGAGGGGTGAAACTCCCGGCGGCTGGATTCCTTTAAGTCATGGGGCAGTGATGGAGGACACCGCCGACGTTGCGGGGCTGCCGGCTGCGCCAGGACACGGCGCAGCCAACCGGAGTGGCACAATGTGCCATCGAGACGTTGCGACTGCATCGCTTATCTTGCACTCTGCCGCGGAACTGTTTTTGGTGTCTCACAACTCCCCGACGAGACGATGGCGCAGGGTCTAATCGTGAGGGGGCTCTTTTGCCTCCTCACTTGGCATTCTGCAGCGCCCGACGGAGGCGATTGCATTTGCGATTCGCACCAGCACATCCCGAGACGCTCCCATCACTTCTTTCACAAACTCCTCCGCCACCTCGCTGTGGGGGACGCCAGCGTGTCGAAAAAAAAAAAAATCAAACAGGCACGCACATCAACGAATCGGGCTGATAGTGGAGCTCCCATGCGGCAAAGCACGCC